CTGAGCTCACCCCCTAAGCATCGAGCCAGTGCGCCTCGAGCCAGATTGCATGAGGCTGTTCAGTCACGGGAAGGTTTGGGTTTTATTTTAAGGGTGATGGGAAGCCACCGGAGGGCTCTAAGCAGGGAAGGTATTTGCTGGGACCCTGTCACTGGCGATCGAGGGTGACCTTTCGAAGGGAAAGGATTGAGTGTGTGTTAGAACAGGGTTTTCAATAGCAGCACCACTGGCATTTTGGGCTGATCATGCTCCGGTGGGGGTGTGTGTGTGGGGCTGTCCTGTGCATCACAGAGTGTTTAGCAGCATCCCTGGCCTTTGACCTGTACCTCTTAGTTGTCAGCAGTGACCCCCTCCAACTGTGACAACCAATAATGTCTTCGAATATTGCAAAACTGCCCTCTCCCCCGGGAGAACCATGGCTGTCCAGTAGACCCAACAAGACTTGCTGATGGACTGGCTATTAGTGGGCAGGTAAAGACACGGGACAGTGGAGCCAGGACTGGATGGAGGACTGGTTTTGACCTCTCACCCTGGGCTGCAGCTATACTGCCCCCTGGAAGGGCAATTGCAAGCACAACTCAGCACGAGGCCCCATCTCACAAAGGAAACCGGTAAGGCAGGCCCTCCAGTATTCCCGCAGAGACATGAAAAATGGCAACACAGTAAGTATAACAAAGGAGGGCTGTAGGTACCGCGCAAGTGTGTGAGGGGTTGGGAAGAGGATGCACCAGTCTGGGAGGAAAGAGAACGTGTCTGCAGGAATTAACTATTCAGCTGAGCTATGAAGGGTAAAGTGGCATTCACTAGGCTTGGAGAGGATGTTTCAGGCAGCACAGTGGGTGCAAAGGCCCTGTGGTTGGAAACATCACAGCACACTTGAGGAATTGAAGAAAGGCCAGAGAGTCAGGAGAATATGGGGCCATCTGGGGCCAGATGATGCCAGGGGTGGGGACATTGCACAGGGTTTCCCAGCCATGTTAGGGGGTTTGGTCTTTCTCCAGGGCAATGGGAGTTCCTTGAAGAGTTTGAAGAAATGATGGAGCAGCATAGGACTAGGCTCTGCCTGGCTGACAAGGCGGTAGACAGGAGGCTCCTGCAGGAGTCAGGGGGAGCCGAGGGCCGTGGCCCCGAGAGGGTGGGTGCCAGTGTGTGGCGTGTGGGGGAGGCCTAGGTGCAGAAGGACCGTTTGCAGGCCTGGCTGAAGTTGGGCTTCTATGGCTGCAGGGCCTGGGCCAGGCCCGAGCCCGTGTGTCCCGCGTGGCATCCTAGCTGGGGGCCTGCCCTCAGGGAGCTCCCGCTTGGCGAGGAGTTAGAGACCCCCGCCCCTAGGCCAAGGGGCTCTGCCCGGAACTGCGGGCCGGGCCGGATGGATAGGGGTGTCTGCGGCCAGAGGGTCCCGGGCTTGAATTCCTCCGCCTGTTAGACATCGACTCCTTCTTCCGGCAGACGCTCACTGTGCAGCCGCTTGGGGCCCGGCCTGGGGCCCCCCGGTACCCAGGAAATGATAAGAGGCTCGCGCTGTGGGGGCCTTGACCTGTCACCCAGCGGAGCAGGTGCCAAGGCTGCAGTGGGGGCGCAGGTGTGCCGTGGGGGCCACAGGCTGAGGCTCCCCTGCCCCCCCATACTCAATTCCTAGGCCCACCGGGGGTTCCTGCCCACCTCCGTCCAGCCCTGTGCCCGGACTCTGAAGTTGGCTCCAGAATTCCCTTCCCGCCGGAATCGGCTAATGAGCTGACACATGGCCCCTTTCTCCAAAAGGACGGAAAGAGGGAAACCTCCGACGGCCACTCTCTGCTTGGGCCACCCTGGGCTTGGTCTCCGCAGAACCTCCAGAACCTCCGAGAGCAGACGCTTCCTTCGTGGGAGCCTCGCACAGACTCACCTCTCCGTGGCCCTGTGGGCTAGGCACCTGGTCACGCCCTTACATAGAGGGGAAACTGAGGCACGGGGAGGCACAAAGCACGTGCCCTGACCTCAGGGGGACACCAAGCAGTGTGGCTGCAGACTCGGCTCCTAACCGCCCCTCCACTGCCTCTCTGGAGCAGATGCACCCGGGATGAAGGGGTGCGGGGTGCGGGGTGGGCGCAGGGTGGGGGGGTTGATGCAAGGGTCTGGGCACCGGCAGGAGGCTGTGGGTGCAGGAAGCACACCTGCCGACGGGCTGCCCGCCCAGCCGGAGACTCCCCTGGGCCACAAGGGTGGGGACAGGCTTCTGGGGACAGCCGGGCAGCAGCAAGCCTGCTGGGTGGGTTACCGGGTCCTGATGGTCTGTCTGGTGCTCCCCTGGGTCCTCCCCACGGCCTCTGCAGGGGTGGGGGTGGGGGGACTCCTGGTCCTGCCGGGCCTCCCAGTCGCCCCCCGCACGGGCACACCCCGCGGTCACTGGCCGCTGCCGAGGGCACTGCTCTGTGCAGGTGACCCACGCGGCACTGGCCTGCGCTGCCGTAGAGGGAATGTGACAAAACGCGGCGCTGAGCGGGGCTCGGGGAAGATAGACCAGCACACGGGGGAAACTGAGGCCAGGCCATTCTTCCTGCTGCTGCTCTGCTAGGCCATGTGAGGAAGAGGCACGAGCCACCTGTGTGTAAAAGTGACCCGCCGGGAGCCGCCGCCGCACCCTCAGTGCTCCGAGGCTCTTCTGCCGCGTCACTGTCCCCCTGGTGCAGCCAAGAGAGCCCTGATTCCAGGAGGTTCAGGCGTGAGCGCGGCAGGTTGGGGATGGGGCCTTAACCCAGGGACGCCTTCGCTTGGAACCCCAGTCGGTGGGCTGGGAGCAAGGCCTTGAGGTCGGAGAGCCCAGGACCGGCAGGTGTGGGTGCACTGGGAGGGGACAGGGCTGGGGGCTGCAGGTGGGGAGGGAGGGAGGCCCCCTGGGACAAAGCCCTGAGCCTGCGGGGAGAGCAGCCCCCCTAAAGGAGGTGAGGAGCAAGCAAAGTCGACCTTTGACCCTCAGCTTTTAGAAGTAGGGTTATTGGGGCGCCTGGGTGGCTCAGTCAGTTGAGTGTCTGTCTCTGGCTCCGTTGTGGTCTCGAGGTCCTGAGACCGCGCCCCGTGTCAGGCTCCCGGCTCGGCAGGGAGTCTGCTTCTCCCTCTCCTCCCTGCTCATGCTTTCTCACGATCTCTGTCCCTCTCAAATCTTTTATTTAAAATCAATTATCAATTAATATATAGTGTATTAGTTTCAGAAGTAGAATTTAGTGATTCATCAGTCATATGACACCCCGTGCTCATTCCATCCTGTGCCCTCCTTAATGCCCATCACCCAGTTAACGTGTCCCCCCCACCCGCTGCCCCTCCAGCAACCCTGTTTACTAGTTAAGAGTCTCTTATGGTTTGTCTCCCTCTCTGATTTCATCTTATTTTCCCTTCCCTTCCCCTATGTTCATGTTTTGTGTCTTAAATTCTACGAGTGAAATCATATGTCTTTCTCTGATTTATTTCCATTTATCTCTAATACTCTCTATCTAATCTATCTATTTATTTATGAGACACACACAGAGAGAGGCAGAGACACAGAGAGAGAAGCAGGCTCCATGCAGGAGCCCGATGTGGGACTTGATCCCAGGACTCCGGGATCACGGCCTGGGCTGAAGGCAGATGCTCAACCACTGAGCCACCCAGGTGCCCCAATACCCTCTAGTTTCATCCACATCATTGCATATGGCAAGATTTCATTCTTTTTGATGGCTGAGTAATATTCCTCCCTCTGTGTGTGTGTACACTTCTTTATCTGTTCATCTGTCGATGGATATCTGGGTTCTTTCCGTACTTTGGCTATTGTGGATATTTATTTAAAGGAAGAATGAGGGACAGAGGGAAGGGGAGACAGTGTGTATGAGCCGGGGGTGGGGCACAGGGAGACGGAGAGGATCTCAAGCAGACTCCTTGCCGAGCACGGAGTCTGACAGGGGACTTGATCTCAGGACCCTGAGACCATGACCTGAGCTGAAATCAAGAGTCTGATGTGTAACTGAGTTACCCAGGCACCCCAGCTTTTACTCTTTTTTGAGGCTTATACCTTCTAGAGTGTTGAGTGTTAAGACTTGGGGGGTAATTTTTTAAAGATTTATTTATTCATGAGAGACACAGACTGAGAGAGAGAGAGAGAGAGAGAGAGAGAGAGAGAGAGACAGGGAGAGAGAGAGAGAGGCAGAGACACAGGCAGAGGGAGAAGCAGGCTCCCCATGGGGAGCCCGATGTAGGACTCGATCCCAGATCCCGGGATCGCAACCTGAGCCAAAGGCAAGCGCCCAACCGCAGAGCCACCCAGGCGTCCCCCGCAGGTAATTTTTAAAATGTGAAACATGGAACATTCCCAAACACCCGCGAATAAAATAAACCCAGGATGAAGGCTGTTGATGCCAAGAGTGGTGGCAATCCTGAAACCAGGTCCATAGCGCGGCCAACGGGACGGACAAAGTCCTCATCGGTTGCTGTGCGTGCCCCGCCGTTCGGGAGTGAAGAACGGAAGAGCCTGCAGGCAGGGGCCACCTGGGTGTTCCTCTCCCTTCTCCAGCACATTCCTGGCACCTGGCACACCTCCCGGCTCCCAGCAGTTGCTCCACCCAGGACTGATACGTGAACGAGGGATAACCTGCCACTACTTTATTCTGGTAACTATTTGGGTTTCAAATCAAAAGCACAAAGCAGTTTAAGAAAAACCGGTGTGGGGGATCCCCGGGTGGCTCAGCGGTTCAGCGCCTGCTTTTGGCCCAGAGCATGACCCGGAGTCCCGGGATCGAGTCCCACGTCGGGCTCCCGGCATAGAGCCTGCTTCTCCCTCCTCCTGTGTCTCTGCCTCTCTCTTTCTATGTCTATCATGAATAAATAAATAAATAAATCTTAAAAAAAAAAAAAAAAAGAAAAGCCAGTGTGACCTTAGAGAGAGAGGCACGCACGGATAGGAGAAGAGTCCGGACTGCAGTGCTGGCTGCATGCTTGCTGAAAGATAACTGCGATGCCACAAAGGGAGCGAGCAAATGAGACCAAGGACACAGAGGAATGATCATTGTATTTATTCGTACACACTTGCTTCCAAACTACAATTAATGTATCTAACAAAGCATGTCATGCAAACAAAGATCAGAGGTTATACAAATTGAGGAAAGCAGTGCAGTAATTTATACATCCATCTTGCCTCCTTTAAACCAAATGTTATTGGACAGTTGAATGGCCTCTACATTTTGTCAGTAGGTGCTTACGCAGAAGGAAAAACCTCAACCTCCAGCTCTTCGTCTTCCTCCTCCGCACAGATTTGGGGTCTTATACGATGTTTTCCAATTACCGATTCAAACATGACATGTCACACACACACACACACACATACACACACACTCTCTCTCTCTCTCTCTCATGTGGCAAAAGAAAGGATTTCAAATGTCTCTGACCATCTATAAAAGAGATTCCGAAAAGACCCTGATAGAAGGGATAGGAGGTGAATTTTTAGACCGCTAAGACACAAGAGAATAACCTGCCTTCGTGGATGATTTTGAATAGTCCACTAATCCCCTTAAGAAAACAATCACATTCTTCCAGGAAAAATATCAACAAAAATCTATGAACAATCACAGGAATAAATACTCCTAAAGTTAAGCAGAGGAGACAAAGACACAGTTATTTAATCAGAAAATGCAAAGCCACCTTTTGTCTGATTTTAGAAAAAAAAAAAAAGGTTCTTATAAAGTAGCCTTGATAGTTTCTGAAAAGTAGGCTCCTGTCTCATGCAAGAGAGAGTTCTGAGACAGATGCCCTTGGGAGTGTTTGCTGCTGCCTCTTCTTTCTCGGGGATATCGAAGTATATCTGAATTGCCCAGTGGACAAAATCCTTACAGGGCAGCTCTGAATTTTCACTGACTGTGAGCCGTGGGGGACCTGGGGGCACTGGAGGCGGAGCTGAGGAAGCCCCCTGCCCCCCAAACCAAAAGGTGGTCACAGAGACTCACAGAGCAAGGAAAGGGATCCAGAGACCCCATGGGAATGCTCTCCTAGGGCTGCATCTGGAAGAGGACCTAAACCTATCTTTCCTATGGTCCAAAAGTTTCTAGACCTTAGATGGTTGTCCCCAGTGCTCATTAAAAATATGGGGGGGGGCCTCAGTCTGCCAACACATTCCACCTGAATTTCCAGCCGTTCTCGCGTGGACTCCATATACACTGGCACGGGAAAATCCTGTAGTGGGAGGGCAGGTCGGGGGCGTGCTCTAGCGGACCCCAGCTGAGTCCTCCTACAGGCTCCATGGGGTTGGAATCTTAGGAAATTGTCAGTAGTTTTATTTTAAAAACTTATTTTTAAAAGAAGAATTGAGTTATTAAAGTTCTCTATAAAAAAGTACAAATAGCCCAGTATTACTCAGTTGTTCTATTGGAATTATCAATTTTTTTTTCTTAAGTTTAAAAAAAAAGTCTTTGGACTTTGTGGGGCTTAGTGTAGGGTCACTGTAAGGCTGTTTGATGACTGAGTTTGACCTACACAATTATTCACTGACACCCAATCACACAGATCAGAGGCACAAGGGTCCTAGTCATACATGATTTTAACTCTCCCAAAGAGTCCCTGACATTAGAAAGTTAACAGGATTGTGGTTGATGCCATTTCTAGATGCCGTCACTCACTAAAACTCAGGTAACCTTTCGCAATTTTCTGTATCTTCCGATTTGTCGCATCGACCCAAATGGGAAATGACAGACATGTTTACAGTCTGGTATGTTTCATAAGATGTTACCCAAGCAACTCAAGGAAAATGTTTAAAAAAAAAAATATCTCCCCACTTGTCACATTAGTGTGCGGTCACTAATAACCAGGGTGCCCTTTCCTTCACTGTAACTGTCACGGCTTCGCTGCTCCCGGAACATCATCCTTTGGGCCCCTGGGTCAGCATCTCCTTCCTGATGATGACTCAGTGGGGGAACAGGCGCTCCTGCCCTTGCCGGGTTTAAAGAGACAGGGAATGGTGTGATATGCACACACACAAGAAAGAGGTGACTTCATGAGACCAAAGTGAGAAAAAGACTGTCAGTTGGTGTTGCCGTTCTGAGCCATTTAAAAATATCAGACTCTCACTTTTCCTCCCTCTTCAGTACTGAGAAAATGAATCCCAGCAAGAAATCAGATTTCTCCTGCTAGGCGCAATCAGGTGGGAACCGCAGTGTTAGTTCTTTTTGCCACTTCTCCATCCACCCCCAGACACCATCATTCTCAGCAGGAAGCCACAGAGGCAAACGGGTGGGAACCTACTGGCTCCCGGGGCATGCTGGTTTGGCTCTGCCCAGGGAATTGTGAGCCACCCTAAGGCAGGCAGAGAAAGGGGGCTTCAAGCAGCTGGTGGGGATGCGGTTGGCATTCAGGAGATGTTTTTCGAGGAGGACTAGGCCGTGTTCCTGGCAACAGACTTGCTGTCAAGGACCAGCCAGCGGTGGCTGTCAAGTGCATCAACGACCAACAAGGCAAAGCCGCTGGAAATAGCAGCAGCTTCCTTCCTGAGATGCCCTCTCCTTGCACACCCTCCTGGCTTCCTCCTCCGGGATACACTCAATCCTTGCTCTTCTCTAAACGCCTTACTGACCTCGGCCTCCACCAACCTCTCCCCTCTCTGAACATCAATAAGTGACTCGCTTGGGGTCTACACACGAGTTCCAGCAAGCACATCACCTCGCTCTGCTGAGGACTGCAGCTCAGAGACTTTCTCCACAATCACTGGCTGGTTGTATCACCGGGGCTGTTTCACATCACCTTTCAACAGATCATCTCAGGTCAAGTTTCCAAAGCGCCCTAAACTCTCCGATTCTCTGCCAAAATTCCTAATAAGGAAGCCTGACACATCTCAGGAGAAGAGACAGACGGTGATGTTGCGTTCACTGGTACCAGGTCATGAGGATCAAAGAGAAGCAGATGTGCTGAAGAGCGACCATTACCTTCTGAATTAGTTCCTGCCTCTAGGGAACCTCCCATTGACTTCTGAGGGCTACACTCGGCCAGCACACTCTGGATACTTCCATCTAAACCAAGCATCTAGTGTCTTTAGACAAGATGCCAAGAGAAGGTGGCCTTCTGGCCTGTCCACTGGCCTGCCACCTCAGAGCCAAGTTCTGCTGCTGAGTAGCAGCCACCGTCCAAGGGAAAATAATGCAAGGCAACGTGAACGGCCCTTCCAAGTCTGGGACCAGAGAATCTGGCGGGGAACCAGACCGAGCTAGATTATGCAGGGCCCTGGACCTCCACAGGCCCCAGTGAGGTGGAAAGTGCTCAGGGTGGGGCTTCTAGAGCTGCCAGCTGCGGTCGAAAGAGCACCCCTTCCCTGTGGCTTTCACACAATGCCCACGAACTGGGACGACGCCACTGAACTACATCGATTGCTTCCTCTATAATGGTCACCCATGAGGTTTATTCTATATTGGGCTGCTCAGACCTTTAAAACATTAGCCTTTACCTAAACTTGGTACAAAGCCACACACCAAACAGGGTACGTCACGGTCACACTTCACCAGGCCCTGGGGTTTCCCGCCTCCTTCCCAAGTTTGTCTTCAAGCCCGCTGTCCTGCAGGCCGAGCGCTGGGCCCCACAGCCAGAAGATTTTCTTTTAAAACTTTGCCATGCATTCTGAAAGAACGCAAGCCAGCTAAGATGATGAATGTTTCCTGGAGAATTATGAATAATTTGGAAATGTGTTGGCTGTGTGAGGGAAAGCCTGAGACTGCTGCTGGCATAGAAACAAGCAGACAGAATGGGGCTCAGGGATGAACGGTCCCTGACCCCCCAACGTGTTCCTTTCTGGAATCTTCCTTGTTGCCTGGGACTTGGCTGAGGGTCCGTCCTGCTGCTGCCCCATCCTGGGGCAGGGTGACTGTTGTTTTGATTCCTAGGCTCATTCTATAAACTGGTCCCTTTTCTACTCAACCGAATGAGATGTCCCTGGCAAAGGAAGGGTCCCCAAAGTGTACTGCCCCGCAGGACTGCAGCGTTGGGTGTGCTAGGGCCCTTTCTGCATTCTGATGTCCACAGCCCCTAAGAGACGGCGGAGGAAGTTGCTCTTTTTGGGGCTGACCCACTGCCTACCCCATCTCTTCCTCCAGTCAAGGGTCCCCAGGACAGACCAGGTCTCTCAGTCTCAAAGACCCTTCTGTCGTTGTGTTACATGAATTTCAGGCAAACAGAGAGTAAAAAATGAGGCGGCACTTAGCTGGGAGACACATTTGGAGAATGAGGGGACTTAGAGCAGACCCTGTAAGAACGGATAATCATTTCCACGTCGGATGTGCTTTCTGCTGTAGGAGGCTGGCTTCTCCGAGGACCTTGCGTTAGTGTCTCACAGTGTCTCACCACAGATGTACTCCTCATGAGACTGGAAAGGCTGGTTCCAGCAACAGGTGGAAGAAAATCTGTAGCTTCTAACGAGTCTGCGGATAGAGCCAGGGGATGGCTGTGTCGGGATGGGGCGGGGGAGCTGCCAAACTGGACGGTTTGTCTCATGAAGTCTGTATGTGCTGGAGCAAACGGCGAGTCGTTCTGGGGGCAGCAAGACAGACGGTGTGCTTCTGGTGTGTCCACGCATACATAGCAGGATGGGCGTCTTCCTGTCCCTCCCACCTCAAGTCACTAACAGTAACAAGGCTGAAAAGGAAAAACCAAAGTCCAGCCCAGGGGCTGTGACAACGTCACACCTACACAAACATACTAGGCATACTGGAGTCAAACACTTCCTGATGTCCCCAAGAGGAAGAGTGGTAAAGGAGTGGACGATGGTGCTGAGGAGCTAGGAGGGAGTGTTATCTCAGAAATAATCCCCAAAAACAAAACATTTGTTTGCAGGTAGAATCGAAAGTGTGTGTGTGTGTGTGTGTGTGTGTGTGTGTACACACACACACACACATATGCCTAATTGATCATGTAAAATAGCCATTCATTTCAAAATTAGATCTACGATAAAAAAATTAATATATCTGATACAGTGCAGGGTTTGCTTGGGGTGGGAATGAGGGAAGAGGAAGCACGGCAGCAAGGAATGAAGCTAAAACTTAATCATAAAAGCAGATTAGAAACAAGAGCCTTCACAAATATAGCACAATTGTGTCTTATAAAATTATTATAATACTCTCTTTATACTTGATACGATTATATCAATAATATAGATTCACTTATTAAGGTTTATTATAAACATGCAAAATTCATTGCATGATGCATTTGCAAAACATATTAAAATCCTTCTAGCAATAAAACATCTTCGAGCCGATGTGCATCCAGGCTTTCCTGATTCTACAGCTCCAGGTGTGTCATTCAACATGAACTGGAAATGGAGACCTGAACTGTATTGGTTTTCATCCCTTAGCGGATGTCAAGGGCTGGAGATGGGAGGGAAATCGATCAATGGAGACTTATGCTATAGTCAACACTCTGCTAAGTTACTGTACACCGTACTCTCGTAAACGACATTGCAGCCTAGTAAATAAATAAGTACAAAAGGGGATGGGGTGTATGCTTCAGCCTCTTAGGACATAGGTAGCAAAATATTGGTTGGAGGGTCGGGGTTGGCTAACAACACTCGTGAGTAGTGGCATGATTGCTGATGGCACCCTGGATCACAGAATAATCTCCCAGAGATTAGAATGAACATACATACACACTGGTTTATCCTTGATCTGAAATGATTTCACATGCTCATTTAGCAAAGTCCTTAGAAGATTTGGCCTCTTAAAAAGAAATGCAAGTATCAAGATAATCGTCAACCAAATTGGGGAGCTGACAGATTCACCCAACGTTCATCTGAGGTTTTCTCTAAGACCAGTAATCACTGGACTATGACTGGGTTACGACTGTCAATGTATGGTAATGGTGAGCTTGCAAATGACTCACTGGTGGGGATTTGATTCATGTCGGCCTCTCAAATTCTAGGGACCGTTTCCACTGAGGCGGAGAACAGAAGCAGTGGGTATTTCAAAGCCTCCCCTACTCCCAATCCCACCTGGCTCACATTCTGGGCTCCCCGTTCTTTCATTCCAAATACGTCTCAGGTGGAGGGGTGTCTAGCCCACTGGACTGGGACAGGTTCATTTTAACATCTCTGGTTGGGGGACCTCAATGGTGGAAATTGACAGAAAGGCAAGGAAAATATATCAAATCGTACCGAAAAAGGGGGAGAGTTTGTTTGCTTTCTAGGAAGGGTCAACCTACAGCCAGATGTGACTTCTACATAATTAAGCTGGACACTGTACATTATGTCATCTTCCACTAAGGTAATGGTTGTAAGAGACAGACCCTGAACCGTTGCTCACATTTGGACTAAAAACCCTAAAATTTTCAGGCCCCCATCTGGAACAAGAGAAAAGGCCATGGCCTTAAAATTTTAGGGTTAAGGATCATTTCCCACTGCTGGAGGGCTGGGGGCGGGGGAGACGATGGTTCTTCGTGTTGAGTTTCATACCGCACTCTGTAAGATGGGGTGCACAAATTGGGGGTTGACATACGAGAACCCCTCGAAATCAGACTGGTCTATGTTAGCAATGACCAACTGATCAGGTGGTGTTAAGACAGGCTGCCCTCGTGTGAAGAACTTGTCAAAGTTTTCTGCGCCTTTGCCACACTGCAGAGAAAAGAGAAAAAGAAGAAAAGGTCAGTAAATTATTGCAAAGCACAGGCGGCAGCTCTCTCAAGAGTCCTCGGCAGGGAAGAGCGTGGCCCGGGGGAATTGGGACTGGAGAGGCAGGAAGAATTCTGGAGAATCTGGACACCCACTGGATTCAAAAGCCAGCCACAGCAAAGAATAACGCAAAGTCACTCGGTTGCAAACCTTCGATGACCCTCGGAACCGAACCCCTCCATGGAAAGGCACTGCTGATAGTAAGGCAGCAGCAAGGGGACACAGCCTGTTTTATTTCATTTTCACTTCACAGAGCAAGCGGGCTACGAGCATGATGCCACACGCGCAGGGCCATCAGTCACAGCCCATGTCGAAAGGCCAGGATGTTGGGTGGGAATGCAGACAGCAACCTCTGAACTGAGAAGTTGAGATTTCTGTCCTACTCGTGGTTCTCTACAACCATATTTGTAGTACAGTAAAAACTGTTATTTTTGCAACTGGAAAGTGCTAAAAACCTCAGTTCATGATCTTCAACCAATATTGAGGTAGGTGTGGTGGCAAGGTTGGGACATTCACCCTGGGGCCCAGCTGGGCTTCAGCCTATCTAGATCTATCCGATCAACTGGCAGGTCGATATGCGGCTCACTCGCTGGTGGTCTCAGGCTGGAGGGGGTTTGCTCTGGTGCCCTGGACAGGGATAGCAAAGTCTCCTGTCTGTCTTGGATAGTCTTCTTCTGCAGGGTCCACCAGGGCACCCAACAAAGACAGGGCTGCAGGCAGAGCTGCCTTTTTGGAGGCTCTGAGAAACATGGCAGCATGCACAGCACGGGTCATGGGAGCCTGACCCCTAATCGGGGAAAGGGGTGTCCTCACTTTCTCAGCCGCTCAGGAGGGTTGTGGCATTCTGAAGTCCCCTGGACCCCAGAGGACTCTGAGACAGGGAATGTTGGGGTCACACTGGTGATACAAATCATGGTATTCCACATGTTGCCAATGATCACCCTTCCACCTGCTGGTACCATAGGGGATATGGACCAGTTCTGAGTTAGCACAATTTTATACTAACCAGGCAATACTGGATCTTTAACAGAGGACAGCTCTGTGAAGGGGTGGGGGGTGGGGAGTCCACCCCAATCCCTTGAGTGTAAAGGGGGGAGGAGAGCCACATCCTCTCCCTGGGCTATGGAGGTTAAGGGTGTGGTGTTTCACACAGACCCCAGCATGCGGTGAGAGCACAAGGGGTGCTGTTATTTTTGTAAGGCCAGTTTAGTCTCACAGACCATACCTTCCCACTTCCTCTTTTATACCTTTCCCACCATCTAGAAAGTTTCCTCGAGGGTCTAGTTTCATCAGGCTTTTTCCACCCTGCTCCTAAGGCATGTCATGAGTTCAGTGTAAGGTCTCTCATGACTGACAGCCTCCCTTTCTGGAGGTGTTTTCATTTTCATGCGTGACCACCTACTCCTAATGGGGGGGGGTGCACACCATGGACTGCTGTGTGGGTATGTGGATGCGTGTGTGGAGAGAGGCAGGGAGCCCTTGTATGGGGGCCCTTGCAGCCTCTCTATGGAGGCCATACTATTGGGCCTGTTTGTCACGCAGGCCCTGCCTCCTGCATAAGAGATGGTGGAATTGTATTTGAGGAGGATGTCCTTTGGGAACTTGATTAATTAATGCCCATGGCCTGAAAGACTTCAAGTGAATCCACTGTAGGTGCTCTCAGAGGCTGGGATGTGTGTTCCTTATGAAGAGATCATTTGCATTTGTTTTGCTATTCACTAACCGTGCAAAGATGAGTAAGAAGGACCTTCTAGGAAAAGGAAAAGGCGAAGTCTCTAAAAGGAAGAGGAAGGCAAGCCAAGGTGAAACGTCTTCTCCATCTAACCCTAGATTTGTTGATCTGTTTTGTGAAAAGAGGGCACAAGTCTGACCTTTCCTTTGGGTACCATCTTTATGGCATTCGCAGATCTTCCAATGAGAAGTTTCAAAAGCCATGGCTTAACTGCCAAATAAATCAACAACAAATGGCAGGAGTCCCTGAGGTCTAAAAAGTGGACCACGTAAACACTAGCACCAAGAAGCTTGGGGATGGGGATGGGTGAAATTCTAAAGCTGCTGTTCCTGGGAAGGGTTACTCCTAGGGCTGCCATGGCTTGTGAGGCGAGTGTGGTAACACACAGGGTGGAAACCCTCACTGCTCCTGGCTTTGTGCTGTGTGGGCTGCCGGCCCAGAACTAAGGGGGCTTGCGGGAACCAGGGCAGTCTTCCTCGGCGATCATGTCACATGGGAGTAGAACTGCTGGTCTCAGAACTGCTTACCACCAGAAACCTCTTCTTTTCCTTCCCACTCTAACTCACTCTGGTATGTTCTCCTAAGGAGAGAGAAGTCACATTCCAGCAAGGAAAGCCTTTCTTAAGCCTGTTCACTGAGGTGAAGGGACAAGCTGAGGGCAAAGAATAAAAACTGTCTGTGTGAGTGGATCTCAGCAAGCCATGGGTGGGAAAGCCACGGAAATGCTGGAGGTTGCATCCAAGGGTCAGATGAGATGCAAGACTCAGAAGGACCTCTAATTCCAAGGGAGCTCTCACCAGATGGATGCCGCTTTCCCCCTTCAAAGAGCAGAGGTTTTTTTGGGGGGGTTTGTTTGTTTTTAATCACAGGTTTGGTACTATGAGAAATATAGCTTATTTTTCCACCATGGAGGGTCTCCTATGCTTTAAAAAATGAGCCTTCCATAATTCAGTAAAATTAGCCCAGAAATAGACAGTCTCCTTTAAGTCAAATGGGAGAAGATTTTGACCTAATTTTTCAAGATGTCTATGAAGAAAACTATGACTATTCTCATATTATTCACCACCATTGACTGAAAAGGATAATGAAAACCAGTGCTCTCTGGATCTTTGAGGAAAAGACAAAGCCTTCAACAAGCTGTTATATTTTAAACACAAAAGATTCTTCCTGCTGTTCGTGGCCCAACCTTATTCATAACCATCTTGTGGGCAGCAGGGCTCAGGCACCATCTTGGATGTGAGAGAGAACAAGAAGGGGTATGGAGACTGAAGGGTTTGGGGGGCCCCAGGTGGTATTTGTGAATGACTGAGCGAATGAGTGACAGTAGGGGTGAAGAATGAGGCTGGCCAGACTACAGACATTCTCTCAACCTACCTCAGGGATGATGCAAGAAGGTTATTACCATGGCCACTGGAAGGACAGCCTCTACCACAGTGTGTGACAATAGGCAGGTTTGGGTTGGCCATGGCCTAAGAGCTCCAGGCCACCTGACAACACATGCAGGCAGCATTTGCTACTTGAGAGCAAAATCCCTTGGCGGGATGTGCACTGTCTTCACCTCCAAAGGCCACCCACACCTGTCACCAACTGAGGATTTTGCCAGTGTGTGACCTCAGACAGTTCCTCTGGTACTCTCTGAGAGCAGAGACTGCCTGTGTCCACGGAGCTGCTTTCGACACCAGAGGGAAAAGGAGAGGTGGGGTGGGAAGGACCCACCAGAGGCCACAAGTCCAGGGAATAGCTTTGGGAAACATACTGTACCTCTCTGTAAAGATAAAAATGGGGTTGTGAACGCCCACCTCCCAAGGCTATTGTGGGGATCAAAGGAACGAGAGTGTGTGCAATCCCTTCTAAAGATCAGGCAATGACACAGATCTGAGGCACAGCACGTACAGCACACGCCCTGCAGGTAAAAGGCATGTGATTAATATGTGAGGGATGAACAAACCCTATTAATAATCGACCTGCCTTATTTAGCTCTGGATTCAGGACATAACTCCTTTGTGGTTTTGACATTTCAACCCATTTGGTAAACTCATCAATTAATAATATGAGCTCAGGAGAGGTCAGGCATGGTAAAGATGGGACAAAGCATAGGAAGACACTGACTCCAGCTAGACTTTGGGCTCGTAGTGCTCCCCATCCAGGGCCCTGGGCAGCACACGGTCCACTCACAACCCCATGCACCCTGTGTAAGGGCCGGGGGGAGAGTCAGCCTGCCCCGCGCACGTCGGCTTCTCATGATTCTTACCTGGGAGAGGCCACCGAGAATGCACAATACATGTGTTGGTCTCAATCCTGTCCTTTACCTTGGTGTCTCAGTCATGTAGAATGTAACCCCATGGTCACTGGTATGGGAATTAGGGTGAGTATGAGTAGCTTGAAAACACTGCCATTACAAAGCAAAACCAAACCAAACCCAGAGGAGCAGGCACAGTATGGAACCAAGCGAGAGTAAAGGCGTGTTGCAAGATGAAGGAGAAAGGGGTGGGGAATGTCTCTGGCAATTATTGGATGTAGCAGGATCTGCTTCATCTTAGGGCACCCCCTATTTCAAGTCTCACTGTGTGGTGGTCCTAGTGGAGCATTAGTAGGAACACGGCTGATATCTGTGCACGGCTTTCTGACCTGCAGTTGTGCACCAACTTCATTTAGTTAAACAACCAGCAATAGAAATGAATGGGGATATTGTGCTTTGAGCCTCCTGGGAGCTCATGTCCACACCATGGGACCATCCAGTGAGGGGGCTGAGGCGCCGGGCTGCAGCCCTCTGTGAGATCAGCATGCTCAGGGAACGGTCTTCCGTGCATGACCCAACGCAAGCAGAAGGTACACGCTCAGGGTTAAAGAATGGAGTTAGTTTGCTCGTTTAGTCACTCAAGGATCTAGAAATGTGCTCACCGAAGGCCGGGATGCCCACTGAAGCCAGTGCATTTTGGTACAGAAAGTCTGGAGAATAAGAACGGACAGAGGAAAGTATTTGGAAAAGAGTCAGCGCCTGCCCTGGGAACTTGGGAATCAGAATAGCCCGTGTGAAGGATGCCACACACCCACCTGCGCTCACACGGAAATGTCTCCCAGATAGATTGCTAGGTGAAAGATGCAAAAATGCATGGTACGACCTTGCTGTGCGTATAATCACGCATGCACGCAGCCTTCCAGAAGCTTACAGAAGAGGTAGTGAATAGCAGAACCAGTAATTGGGGGGGTGGGGGTGGGGACAGCCTGTCATTTTGTATCCATCTTTCGTTGCTTAACTATTTCCCCACGTGGAATTAATACTTCAATAATGATTTTTTTTTTAAAGAGGGATTGGGACCTCTTTTTGGGTGCTCCTGCCAACAGCACCCGTGGTGAGAGCCTGGAGACAGGTTTTCATTTCTTAGACAAAATTAAACAGTGCTTGCTTATCTGTTGCCTCTGAGCAAATCTCAGAAACCTGCGCATCATCCTCATGCAGGGGCCACACTAAATCTTCTGTGTATCATTCCAGTTTTAGTATATGCACTGCCGAAGGGAGTGCTAGATAGAGCACGATGCAGAAAGGGCCAATTCTGGTCCAGTGGGAGCTGGTTCTATGGATGGGTGTGTTGACAGACACAGGCTATAAGCCACACATTGAATGAGTGGATTCTTAGAAGCGTCAGAGCCACGTGTCTGTGAGGGAAAGGTCCTGGCTTATCCTAGGCCGTATTCTATGGAATAAAAACATGCACTCCGTTGAGTCTGTCTTTATACCAGTGGCTGGCAATGGAGGATTCAAGGCTCCTTTTCCAAAACAAGTTGTTGTGATGGCCATCGTTGTCGGAGACCTTCACTTCAGACAATGGGAGGCTGCCAGTTGGCACACCTTGAGCCACGTATCCTGTTCCTCACCCCGGAAGCTCCCTGAGGCTTGCGACACAGCTACTTACTAACCTTGATTATTATTTTAAATGTCTCATCTCTTCCCAGTTCTCTTTCAAGCCGGAGAGCATGTGGGAGCATAGTTATCAAAGAACAGCCTCCCTGCTTCTCATCAACCAAGGAGGAGCTGTCTTGGGCTGGTTTAAAGGTTGACATCACCCCCGAGTTCACCTTGATGTGACAGGTTCCAGGCTCCAAGGGCTGGCTGGTGTTCACATGTTGCTGGAGGAGCTCCCCGAGTGTTGAGAATCTCTTGGTTTTACTTAGCATCGCGGCTGCTGGTGCCACTGAATGGTCAAGAGAAAACCTACCTGCTACTCCACAGGATGATTACATGCAGCCCCAGGCTGCCTGCCGCACTGAGCTCTCAGACCACTGCTCCAAGACCCTCCTCCTTCTACCCAGAGGGCCAATGCTCTGTAGAATTACCTTTCTAGAGCAATTATTAAAAAGAACAGCACCGTGCGATGTCCTTGGTTTTAGGAAAGTCATGCAATATGTAGGTATAAACAGGCATCACATTTGCAACTTACTCTCAAGTAGTTAAAAAAAAAAAAAAAAAAACCCGCACATGTGTATTATGTACACATGCATGCCTGGAGATGGAAAGAATGATAAAGCAAATGTGCTAAAATGTTAACATTTAGGGAATCAGAACGTAGCAATTCTTTATGCTATTTTTGTGACTCTTCTGCAACACTGAAATTGGAAGTTATTTCAAAATAATTTTTTTCCCGAAAATTAAAAAGGCATGCTGCACTGAGTTTGAGAATTAAACCATCATGAAATTTTCTAGACAAGCTAATGATGCCGTGCATTGCCTTGTTTCATTGTATCTCACAGACCCTGTGTTTTTTTTTATAAATTGGAAGTCTGTGGCAACCTGGCATCAAGCAAGTCTACTGGAGCCATTTTGGAACTGCATTTGCTCACTTCCTGTCTCTGTGCCACATTCTGGTAATTCTCGCCGTATTTTGAACACTTTCCCTATTACTGTATTTGTTAGGGGGACCTATGATCAGTGATCACAACTTGCTGAAAGTTCAGGTGACAGTTAGCATTTTTTTTTTTAGCAATAAAGTATTTTTAATTTTTTTTAAATTTATTTATGATAGTCACAGAGAGAGAGAGAGAGAGAGAGAGGCAGAGACACAGGCAGAGGGAGAAGCAGGCTCCATGCACTGGAAGCCCGATGTGGGATTTGATCCCGGATCTCCAGGATCGCGCCCTGGGCCAAAGGCAGGCGCCAAACCGCTGCGCCACCCAGGGATCCCCAATAAAGTATTTTTAAATTAAGGTACATGCATTGTTTTTTTTAAGATATAATGTGACCGCACACTTAGTAGACTACAGAGTAGTGTGACTGTAGCTTTTATATGTGCTGGGAACCCCCCAAATTCATCAGCTTGCTTTACTGAGACATGCACCTCACTGTGGCCATCTGGAGCCACACCCACAGCATCCCCGAGATATGCCTGTAGAGGATTTCGGGGTGATGGGGAAAATTAACCTGACCGTGCAATCTCACCATCATGGCATCTACACTTGTACCCGCTGTTCTTGTTCTCTTTGGCTCTTGCCACAAGGATGACAATGTCCTGATGAAAGTTATTTTTTTCCCCTCTCTCTTCTTGATAAAATAAGGACAGTAATTTTACCAGAAAGGTTCCCTGTGACAGACAGGCCTATTTCCAAAGTGCTCTGCTCATCTATCAACTCTGGAATATATTTCTCGGTGTTAACTTTATAAATTATTCTCTCTCTCTCTCTAATAACCACTTAAGTATCGTGAAGGTTTTTGGCTTGCCTGTGAACTAGCTCTTCTGCTCCTTGGGGCCAATGGATGGAATTCAAAAAAGAAAAAAAAAATCAATTAACTTTCCACTTCTGATATTTGTATAAACTATCATGTATCACGGGCAAGATGAGCGGGAGCTTGAAGGCTGTTCTCCGGCATTTTACTCAGATGAATAATTAATCAGGGTAAAAGCCTACAAAATTCAAAGGGACACCAGATCAGAATCTTGGGCTCACGTGTGCCTCTAAGGGCATACTTTGTTTTTTTGGGCAAAGCCGAAAGAATGAGTTCTCCTTCCCTCCATGGGTTCTCAAGACACACGGCCAAGTGGGCTTGGCTGTGCCATCCTCTCCCGAGGAAACCTCCTCATTAACCTGATGCTGTGGGAGGCGGCCTGGCCTTTCGAATTTCTCCCTCAGCAACTGAAGTTTAACCTTTTCAGGAGTGACATCTTTAAACTTAAACATTAAAAAAAAAAAAAAAAAAAAGAGACCTTCTTACATGGAATCTTCTGAACATTAACAAGCCTCTTTGAGGACTCAGGCTTGTTGTTCGGAACGTCAGCCAAATGCCGAGCTGACGGTCCTTAGTCTGTGGATCAAAGGCTCTTCCACTGTTGTGTTTTCTTTGAGGGAAGACAAAACCAGCTTGCTGTGTGCTTTTTTCCCCATAAAGAAGGAGAGTCATGGGGTGGGGGTGGGGGCTCATCTCCAGGAGAGCATAACATAGCTGTTTTGTTTTTGCTTTTGTTTTACATGATCAGCCAGTACATAAGTGACTGCTCCATCTTCTAGAAAATTGTCTTCACCTTCACAATTGCACACAGTGGTCTTCTGGGGACGTGGCTCTGCTCTGCCAGGACAGGACTCTCCCACCACAGGGCACCTTGGGGGCAGGTTCTTGCTTCCTGCAGGCTCTTCCCCAGTCCTGCTACTTCTGTGGCTGGGATGAGCCCCTCTGAGCTTCCAGACTTGCCACCGTCAAGGGAGATGGCCGCTGTTCCACACACCTGACGCCCATCCCTCGCCTCTCTGCGTTTCCCTTCGTGAGTGAATTTAAACAGAATCTGGGCCATGGCTGCACTGCAGGTGGCCACGAGGTGGAAAGTTCTGTGTGGTGCCTCCTGATGGAGTCACACATCACAGAATGTCTTTGGTGGTGGATTTTCACATTTCCTGTGGCACTCTGGTCTAGCTTCCGGGATGTCACTTTGGCAGGAAGGAAGATTAAAAAAAAGAAAGATAGGATACTATAGGAACCCTGGTTCCTCTGGATAAGCTCTGGGACTTGTCTCTCCTCTCTCAAGAAAGCTTGTGATTTTGGAGTCATCTTTCACTGGAGATTCAAAAGCAAATTAAAAAAAGCCAAGATGAAAAAAAAAAAAAAGCCAAGATGAGACTCCACAGCTTATGAGCACAAACTTGATCTCTAGAAGCACCCTGAAGATAACTGGGAGTGCTTGAAGGCTTACTGCTGGTATTTGCAATAACCAGAGGCTTGATTTCCTTCCTGGGAGCCAGGAGGGGATGGTCCTTTAATCCAATAAATCTCAGGGAAATGGATTCACGGCACCTGCTGAAAAAGCATCAAGACAAGTTCACCAAGGCAGGCAAGCTTCGCCAGCCGGCCAGGGCTACCAGCACCGCTCAGAGGGGGAGATGCTCCCCGTGAGGGGTTCAGCAAACACGCGAGAACAAGCTTCTGGCAGCAGGGTGTTTGCCACTTTTCTCCACGGTGACAGCGAGGATATGCTGCTCCGTTCCCTTTGAAATGACAACACTGCCCATCAGAGACTACTCAGCTTTGCATTTCATCTGTAAACTCTTCTGACTTTTTAATTAACTCTGGATCAGGGAACTGCATTTTTCACTGAGCAAGGGGGGAAACATCACAGAGTAACCTGAAGGCGCCGTTAGCTGCTGTGCTGACATCAGTGTCGTGTGCCGCCTCGGTGACATCTGGACTGAGCCTGCTCTGCGCTGTGGGAAACGTCCTCTCCCGCCACCCAGACTGTTCCTGGCACGTATGTGGTCTCTCCACTCTAGCTGGTACCTTGAGAACAGAATGCTGTCCCGGGGGGCTGCTGAGATGCCCCTTCACCCCAGGACTAGGTGCCGTGGGGGTGGCGTGGGGTAGCGACTGGGGGGCACTGAGCTCTCCTGGGAACCAGGACTTTCTGATCGACCTCTTTGCCCTCGACTCTCTTCGCTGCTCACTCCTGCAGCTGCTTGCTCCTAACCCCGGCATGGCCATGTGTCCCCTGCTGTCTCATCCGCTGCCCACGTGTACATTTTCAGCTTCTTCCTTTTCTGTGTACACTCCTCAGGCAGGACAGGGGCTCGGCCTGGGAAAGCCCACTGTGAGCAGAGGACGTCTCTCCTTCTCTCTGACTAGAGCCCTCACCCAGCGGGCCTTTTACACACCACCTCCTGCTGCAGGGCCTGGTCCATGATTTCGGTTCCTGTGTTTGAGTTCAGGAGCTGCTTCTTCACAGCCAGAGCCAGCCTCTTCTTTCTTGTTATTCTAGTTAGCACTCAGTTAAAAAAACACACAAAAAAAACCCAAACCACAAATACCAGCACTGGAGAAATAAATAAACAAACACACACTGCTCATGGCTCAGCGGCCTGCCGCAGTAGGACTGTGTCCGGTGAGTTCCCCAGCCCACAGCGAACAGCCTTAGTCAGATTCCTGGCTCCTGGCCCCAAGCCACGTTCTTGTGTCCCTAGATCTGAACGTGGGGCCGCGGTGCCCACAAGAAGTGGGAGACCATGCAAATATACAATGTCTTCTGAGGACGGGGTGGGAATAAACAGGAGGAGATGTGTTTTTATGGCTGCCTTTGCTGCATCTTGTCCCTTTCTGGAAAGTGACTGACAAGCAATTGTATTGTGCTTAACACTTAAAGCAGGGTCAGCGTGTCACCTCTGCTAAGCTGTATGTAAGATGCCATTGCGTGCCTTTCATATTTTAAGAAGGCTACACAAATATGAAAGGGGAAAAAGAAAATCCCTAACAGAATGTTCTAAGGCCGCCTGCAGCATTATCACTGCCGTCACGCCCCACCTCCTCAAACCAGATTTTGTAGTGAGGGGAGGGATCCTATGAAAACCCCCCAAAAGCTGTGTCCAGGATGGGCTCAGAGAAGGTGGGGTGCAGATATACAAGGGTCTTGCTGGACAGGATGATTCAGGAGGGAGTCAACTGACCTGATTAATTTTAGTTTTTCTCCCGTTTGTGCTAAGAATATCTTGGAAAAGTAGAAGTGGGCTCCCCACCAGCAGTTTTATTCTTGGAGCAGAGGACACACAAGCGTATTTGAGGAGGAAGCTGCTGCCCTAAGAACAAAGCTTGGGCGCCAACCAGTCAGTAACTCAGTCACCCCAGGAGGGTCCCCTTTGCCTGCTCATAAGCACATGCTAGAGGAGACAGATGTGGGTGCTTCTGCAACAGACCGTGGGACACAGCTGCTCTTGCTGCAGCCTCGGGGGCAAGGGCACCATGGGAAGGCATGGTCCACTAACCCCAGAGGTGGGATCCAGGGGGAAAGCAGACCCCCCGGGAGGCACCACCAAGTGCCCGGTGGCATGAGTCAGGAGCCCCATGTCTTACAGACTCTGAGATTACCTCGAGATATAAATGTTAAGAAAGACCAATGCTGGTTGCCACCACCAGTCAGAAGATGGGCAGACAGCGGTCACTAGGATGGAGTGATGGTGTCATGAGGTAAGGACACGGATCTCAGAGCCAGAATAACCACCTACCAGCTGCGTGTCTTCAGGCAAGTTACTCAGCCTCTGTGCCTTAGTTTACCCACTGTGCAGGGTTGTTAAGAGGGTTAAATGAGCTGATTTGTAAAAACAGGGCCTGGTGCATAGGGTTTGTGGAATACACAGGAAAAATGGGGGTCATGCGGGAAGAGTCTCAATGAAGGTGGCAAAGCCAGAATGGGGACTGACACACACTGCTTGCAGTGGCGGCCGTGGCCAACATGGGAAACCCAGCCAGGGCCTGCATAGGAGTTGGCTGAGACTGGGTTCTGCTTCAGGAGCAAAGCAAGCCCAGGAGAGCCGGACACAGATGTGAAGTCCTGTCGAGGACGCAGAGCAAGGAAAACAGCCCCACTGGGCACATGAATCCGTGAAGCCTGCACCTCAAAGCTGATGTGCCCTGGCTCTCTCTCAGTTCTGGGGGGCGCCCTGCAGCCACCCTACTGGTGGCGGGTCTGGGTTGACTCTGTAAGTCAGCAGGAACCCCCGTGGCTCAGACCACAGACTGAACACAAGGCTGGCACCTGGCCATTTTTTTCCACCCTGCAGGGCAGGGGTCACTGGCCTCCTCTCTCCAGAAAAAGGGTCAGTGGGACCCCGCTGGGATTTGGGAGACTGCAGCTCAGGAACAGGCCATGTCCCTTACTCACCACTTTGGGCTTGAAGGGTGGCTGGATCTCCCTGTTCTCGAGTTTTTCCCAGTCGATCCTCCGGAAGAAGGCATGCTCCCGAACGTCTCTCTCTCCCTCTGGCCCACAACCCAGCCGCTTGCCTGGGTGTTTGGTCATCAGCTAGAAGGCAGCAGAAAGAGGATGCAACGTGTGACGTGGTGACCAGAGGTGATGATGCTGTACTGTATAACCGAAATGTGCTAAGAGAGCAGGGTGTAAGTACTCTTCCCCCAAAAGACAAAAAGGTAAACTAACGTCAGGTGATGGACATGTCTTCTTGGTCGTGGGAATCTTTCACCGTGTACATGTGTATCAAGCCATCACGTGGCACATTTTAAATACGTTGCAATTTTGTCTGTCAATTACACCTCAATAAAGCTGAGAAAGAGAAAAAAAAAAGAGCCTCCCTCCCCCGCCACACACATTAAAAGTAGGAGAAAAAGAGAATGCTGGATGATAATGCAGGCTTTCCTTTGCCAGCTCTGCTACGGGCACTGGCTGTGTGGACGCCCAGGGAGCACCCCAAGAAATCAGTGGCTTGCACAGAGAGAGCCCAACTCACAAGTACAGTAGTGTTGACAGTATGGGCCTTTCTATAGTGGTTTTTATGGTAAGGAACACAGGCAAACAATCTGACCCTAGAGCCAAACATAAGAATTTAAACAGGTGTCTTCATACACTATCTGCGTTAGAACTGCCATCCTGTATGTCTAAAAAATATGGATATGAAAAGGTAGACAATCACTAAAAATTGTGTGTGCCGAACATATCTCATATGATGCTAATAACAAGCATCATATGCTGCCTATTTATTGCCTGGACCAAAATGCCTGAATCAGAGACTCATGGTTGGAAAAACAAATGCCTTGACCAGCAGGTGACTAGTTAATTCCCATGTATCTACAGCAGGAGACAGAGGCAAATGTGGATTATAAGCTGGGCAGGGCCCAGCTGTCCCTATTTTTATATGTAAACAGTGCCTTGCCCTTGGAAGACACCTGCTAAGTGCATCCCAAATGATCAAACCAGCCAGAAAATGTTAGGAGTGTGTTATGCTTCATCCTGCCACGTCTGACAATAATTTTGTGGCCTAAAACTTTACTATTAAAAACTAACCAGGTCATGACCCGGTAATTTCTACTCCTAGGTATCTCCTGCCCAGAAATGAGTTCGTATGTTCCCTCAAACCCAAAACCTGGACGTTTCAGGGCACTTCTATTTGTAACAGCCCCAAACTAAAGTGGAAATAACCCAAAGGCCCACCAGCAGTAGCACAAATAAACCAACTCTGGTGGGGCTACCCAACAGAATATTATGCAGCGTATGGAAGACAGAAGGACACACGTACATGGGAATGTGGAGAAATGCTACGATCACCGTGTTGGGGGAAAGAAGCCAGGGCTGGGGAGCACCCACCACAAGACTGCATTTGTGTGAAGTTCAAAACAAACAAGGTAAATCCATGCAGGTTTGAGCGGGGCTGCTGTTTATCTCCAGGGGTGGGGAGTCGCTGCAGGACAGTAAGGGAGGGGGCTCCTGGGGTGTCGGAAACATTCTCTTTCATGACCTGGGTGAAGTTACATGGGTGTTATCTGTTCTGTGAGAATTCACTGATCTACACACTGATGACTTGTGCCCATTTCTGCGTGCACACTCCATCTTAAAAAAGGACACTCGAATGAAGAATGACCCAAGGCATGCCAAGTCAGGCAAGGGAAGAGAACGAACGTTTTCCGAGGGCCTGAGATTATTTCTGACAGCTCACGGCACAATTTCAAGGGGTGGAGGAGACACTAAAACACCGTGAGATTAGCTGCCTGGGCCAGAGTTCCAGGAAGTGTGGGGATCAGAACGCATTCTCCAGGCCGCCATGCTTCCCACAACGTCCTGCACGTCACCAAGCTGTAGCCCTTGATGGCTGAAAGCAGAGGTGTGCCTTTGAGGGCTCTCCACCACCTTTCTCAGAAGTGTGGGGAAGAGTCTTCCTCTGTTGACCCCCTTGGCCTCGATTATAAAAGAAATCTGGGTCTACTTACTCCTTTGCAGATGGAAACGGCCTCTTTGGACAAGGATTTGGGATAAGAAACGTTATGCTCCATTATGGACTGAAACAGCTCGTCTTCATCTTCACCATCAAAGGGAGGCTATTCCAGGAAAGAGACACACGGGAAAACAGGCAGGGTGATTCATTAGTGTGGTGCCTGATGACCCAATTCAGCTCCAAGAACACACACGGGGCTTCTGGGGGCACCATGGGCTGCAGAGTTAGCTCAGTGAAGTTGCTGGTTTATTTGATTATCTTTCATTAGGTCGGTGGTTGTGTGTTTTTCACTTTTTCCCCTTGTCTCTTTAATTATCCTGCCCTGGGAAACCCAAAACAATCTTTAGGCAAAATGTTTTTGAGTAATGCTTTTAATGATTTGCAAATAAATTATAATTAATCCATTAATCTTGTAATTATGTGTCAAAAATTTTAATTATAATCAAGTTAGGTTACAGATGGCTCTGTGTGCAGTGATGGGGGCAGGTGGAGAACGCTAATGCCTTTGGATTCTGAGAATGGGGTGTCCAGGCCATTAGGACATGGCCTAAAAGGACTTCCCCAGCTCTAGAAATTCACCCCAGGGCCCTTCTGACGCAAGAGCAAGAGGGAGCTGCTCTGTAGAGAGCCCACACCTGTGTGATGACAGTGACGGGGGCTTAGCTGCCACTAGACACTCCCCTCTCCTCTTCTATTGGGTTTACACTCCCACAGGGAGAGGGGGGGAGGCATAGTAGCATTCTGGGCGGCCATGGCTTTCAAGTTAGGTGGATCTGGATCAGAATCTAGCTTCACCATCTTCTAGCTGGGTGTCCACAGGCAAGCAACCGATCTAAGACATGGTTTTCCAATTTGTAAAATGGGGTTTCCTGGTGAGTCTACAAAACAGGATAGTCTGTCCTGTATCCAGTAGGTGCCAGATGAAGGATGCCTGGTGGTATTGGTATTTTATTAAAGCGGATGAACTGTCTTAGAAGGGGCTGTTAGGATCCTCAGGAGGAGTGGGTTGAGCTCAGGACGTCCTTCAAGCTTTCTCTCCATCATGTCTTTAATCCCGAGAGGTCTGCCAAATTACCTGTCACTCTGGAGGGATAGCGGGGCACAGGATAAGTGGGCTTATGGGAAATTTCTTAATGTTCCTTTTTGGCTTAGCTAACCTTGGGTTTAGCATAAGAAAGGTAGACCAGGAGTCAGCTCTCAAATAGAAAATCCCCGTATGTTTAATATCATTGCATTTTCCCTCTCACGGAAAAGAGGGGTCTCTGTCACTCTGACTGACATGGTTAGGGCGCCGATAATGCAGAACCCAGCGTAAATGTAAATTGTATCATGGAGTGAAGACAGCTGTGCAGCAGCCCGCAGACTATCACTTATCAAACATTTCCCTCTGAGTAACAGAGAGCAACGGACCCAGCAGAGTGCTCCCCCTGAAGCACCACTCAAATCATCCCATCTGTTCATCTGACCCCCAACCTCAGTCCTTCCCCACCCCCAGCCCCAAATAGGAGTTGAGTGTGGGGTCAGCACATGGGAGCCACATCCACTCAAGGGAAAGACGCTAAGTCTATACAGAACCCTACTTTGGGATCAGGTATTGGTGAATGGGGGGTTGGGATGGGTGCCCTGTTGTTGTTGGGTTTTATTTTTATTATTACTATTTTTTGGTCTAGAAACAGAAATAAATCGGCCTCTTTTTCAGCTGTAAGTACCTGGCATAAAGAATGTTTAATTTGGTCGAAGGCATGCAGGTGGGTGAGGAGAACTAAAATTAGCCCACCTGTGGGGCACCTGGGTAGCATAGTTGGTTAAGCATCCAACTCTTGGTTTCGGCTTAGGTGGTATTGTGAGACTGAGCTCCACATCAGATTATGATCAACAGAGTCTGCTTATAGTTCTCTCTCCCTCTCCTTCTGCCCCTTCTGTTCATAGTTTTTTTCTAAAATAAATAAATCTTAAAAAAAAAATATTACCCGGCCTGTGAATGACTCTGAGCAGAGCAGGGAACAGCCCACAATGATGAGCTTCCCTGGGCAGAAGTAACATGCTGCCTGGGATGCACACAGGCCAGTGGGCTGGGCACAGACACCACACTAGCGAGTGTAGGTGGTCACCCGGGTCAGCGGAGGGTTGTGCTACTTCCACCTATAGAGAGGGCAGGGTGGCCCAAGGATGTGGGTGACGACGGTCCAGCTGTCCATCCCACTTCTTCTCTATCTGACATCATGCAATCTACTTCTTCTGGACTCCTATGACACCCACAAAACATCCCATTTCCCCTAATAAGTGATCCATATATGTGGCTGAGTTTTGGCCAAGGAGATCTTTATAACTAAAGCAAACATGGCATGGTTTCTGCTCAGGGCTGTGAAACACACATCTCCAGGGGGCTCCATTCATTCTGAATTTCCTATGTGTTCATACTCTACAACTTCAGAGTGCTCAGGGTGTGGGCAAGGCACAGGGGCTGCTCCTGGATGACCAATCAACACCTCTCAATGTGGCCCCTTCAGGCCACTGGTCAGGTGAAGCTACATAACAGCACAGCATCATACCAGATACAACGGGCTCTTGGAGCTTGGGCCTTGCAGTGAGAGGTGCCAGGAGAGTCAACTGGCCTTTCTGGTGATGCTCAAGTACTAGCAGCAGGAATCCTACAGGGGCTGAGTCACAGATAACCTTTTTTTTTTTTTTTTTTTTTAAGATTTATTTATTTATGATAGAGAGAGAGAGGCAGAGACACAGGAGGAGGGAAGAGCAGGCTCCATGCCGGAAGCCCGACACAGGACTCAATCCTGGGACTCCAGGATCGCGCCCTGGGCCAAAGGCAGGCGTCAAACCGCTGAGCTGCCCAGGGATCCCCCTGAGTCACAGATAATCTAAGCCAAAAGTTTCAGAGAAATTTTCTCCAAAGAGAAACTCAGACAAATTGTCCCCAGGAATCTTTTGTCAAGTGAGGCAGCAAGAACCTTTACAAGAACCAAGACAATTAGGTCAGTGAAGATGCCTCCCCTCTCCCTGCCCCAGCTGATGTGGGAGAAGGAATTTTGGGGGGAACTGGCTTATCACACCTGTTTAGTTGTCTTCTGGCACGGGAACCACCTCGGCCCAGGTGAGCTGTGCCTACTACTGATCTGTTTACCTGAAAGTCCCCTCTGTGTGCCTGCCAAGTGCAGGACAGCTGGCTCCTGACACACCCCAGAGAGTATTCCTTAGAACCAGAGGATATTGGGGAGCCTGGGTGGCTCAGCGGTTGAGTGTCTGCCTTCAGCTCAGGTAGGGATCCTGGGGTCCTGGGATCGAGTCCCACATCGGGCTCCAGGCAGGGAGCCTGCCTCTCCCTCTGCCTGTGTCTCTGCCTCTGTGTCTCTCATGAATAAATAAATAAAATCTTAAAAAGAAAAAAAAAGAACCAGAGTATATTAATCCTACAGGATACTCCTGGGTCAAAGTTTGCATTCTTTACCCTCCCTTTCAGGACATCAGCAGTAACATTTACATTATAAAGGTTCTAAGAAGCCTGCAGTAAAGAACTATTAAATCCAACGTGAATCATACAGGTTGGGGATGCAAGGATTCTCTGAGGCCCCTTAGGCTCACCTAGTGTGATAAGATTCCAGAGCTAGAACAAAAGCCTTGTGACTACAAGTCCTTGGGGGCAGAGCCTTGAGCTTTCAGCCGGTGTTCCACCCGTGTGGCCCCAAGGACTGGGGCTTCTCCTAGCCACACGTCCCAAGGAGGACACGTGCCTCTACCCCTGACTTTCTGTTATCACCCACTGTGAGTCTACACAGCCTGAAGAATGGCCAGGATTTGGGAGTGAACAGCAGTAAGGACAGCGGTGGTAGCAGTAACACAGGCTTTTCAGGCTGTTTCTGTGTGCCGGGCACTGCATGGAGAGCTGGTGCAGGCATCACTCCCTTAATCCTCAAAACCACCACAGGACGTACATACTAGTAATCTCATTTTACAGTTGAGCTCATTGAGGTTCTATTATTAAGCACTTTGGCCAGGGTTACAGAGCTGGGAAGAACCAAGATCTGCGTCCAGACATCTGACTGCAGAGCTTGGGCTCTTAGCCATTCTGAGCACTGCCAATCCCTTACACTTGCTCCGGCAGGTGGATGGTGAGGGATGGTCCCCTGGCGCTGCTGCTGGAAGGTGCTCAGCTGCTGGTCCACCCAGCACCTAATGAGGGCTTGACTGGGACATCGGGGGAAGGGTATGTGTGGGGAGATCATTTTGGTATCCTGCAAACAGTAGTGGGGTTCTGGAAAGAAAGATGGGCAGTCACTACGGCCAGAGATGTTTCAAGTCATCATGTAGCGTGACTGTCTCTGGATTAGAGACCTGGCCTGACTTCCCAGCCCTGATTTTGACTGCTTATCTCTTGCTTTTGCCACACGTCCACTGTGAGACAGCAGAGGTCACCCAGGGACCCATGCTGATGGCACAGCTGTCATCCTGGTCTCGCTGGGGTGGGATGGGAACAGGTGCTCTGGGGTGTCCCTCTCCATTGCTCAAGCGCTCTACCCTGGAGCACTTCCACTCAGACCTCATTGCTCAGAAGTAGTCACACATGCTCCACATGATTACGGGTGAGCTGGGAGGTACAGTCCCATCATGTGCCAGAAGGAAGACCCAAAACACCTGGTGAACAGCAAGAATGAGCATCATACTCAGAATGAGAAATGCTCCCCGGAGCCCCATATTGCATTAAAATCATGTATTCTTGGAAGAGGGCAAGCCCAGGAAAGTAGCATCCCCAACTTCAATACAGAAACTGCTCTTATTTTTCTGTGAACTCATAGGCTTGTCGTATTATTTTCAAATACTGATGCATAGTTTGGAGTCTCTTGTTTCTCACTGGCTGTTGCAAACACTTTCTCTGTGCTACCGGGACTCCCAGGTCAAGAATAATGCACGGAGCTGATACACCATCCATCAGAGACGGGCTTATTTGTCCGTGGGTACATTCACAGTTGCTTCCAGGGCCGCATTCTGATAACTAATGCTACTATAAACATTTCTGTGCATGTCATTTGTTTCTTCTCTGAATTACTTCCTAGGAAAAATTTCCCAGGTGTGGGCTTACGCAGCCAGAGGACGTGAACATTTTTATGCCTCTTGTTAAGTCTCCCCAGATCACCCCCGGAGCATTCTTATGGGTAATTGCTGATTGGGCCTTAGTGTTGCAGGCAGGTCAAGGGTGAAGTTATAATTATATTCACTTTCCTTCCCAGCCATGTCAGCTACTGAGCCTGGGGACAATAGGAGGTAATGTGCTGCTGAGGAGTGAGTACAGGACCATTTTGGATTGCTTCTCTCCCCTCTTTCCCACAGTCCCATGATTATTTTTAAATTTCTACAAATCTGGACATAGTGTCTCAAGCTAAGCTATGCATTAAATACAGTCTTAGTATGGTGTAAGAATGTTCCGAACCAGGGGTGCTCTCCGTAGCAACAGGTAATTTGTGAATTTTAAGACATGTAAGGGGTGATGTGAACCACCACATCACTTCTTTCCAAAATGATTTTTTTCTTTAAGATTTATTTATTTATTTACAGATTTTATTTATTCATGAAAGACACAGAAAGAGAGAGAGGGAGAGACACAGGCAGGCTCCTCGCGGGGAGGCCTATGTGGAACTCCATCCCAGAACCCCGGGATCACGACCTGAGCCGAAGGCAGATGCTCAACCACTGAGCCACCCAGGTGCCCCTCCAAAGTGACTCCTAACCTAAATCCCTTGATAGTTCATGGTTGTTGGGGCCCCACCACATTTGTCTGCGGATCACTGGTGACCAGCGTTGGGGTGGGAGGGCACCCAAGGACAACTCAGGATAAAGTGCTGGGATCAAGTACCTATTACTGATTCATCAGGAATGAAGACAAAGCATAAATAACCGTGGCAGAAGGAGACATAAAAAGGAGAGGGCTGGTCCCTTCATGATGAATACCCATGAAAGCTTGAAGCCGCAATATGCTCATTACAGTGCTGGGTAAATACTGTTTATGCCCCAAAGTAATCATATTTGTCAAGCAGTCCAGGAACTGAAGAAAGACTCGGGCTGTTTCTACATAACTGCCCCCTTGCCTGCTGACAATAAATACACCAAACGAGAAGAAAATGGCAAAAAACGACCTCTTCTGCTCATCTTCAGCCCTGTGCGATTGAAGAGGACAAATCTAGACCATAACCCCATCAACAGCTTTATAATTAATCTTACTTTCAATAACAGCATCTACTCCCTTGGCTGGGTCTGGAGGCTGCTGCAGCTTCGGGGGGCTCTGGGGGACAGGCTCAGAGCCTTCATTACCCTTTCTCGGCTGACTCACAGCCCAGAAATACATTGAAATTTGCATTGAGTCACGGGGAAGAAGTGGGTCCCGAAATGAAAACACCGTGTTGGAGACAGGCACAGCTGAGGACTTGGAGGAGCGACAGCTGAGCCTGCCACTGTGCCCGAGTGTGGGCCATCTTTAAGACGTCACATTCAAAGAGTGTCACCATCTTCAACAGATAATGAAGACTGGAAGCGATTGTATCAGGCAGGCTGAGTCTGAGAAGCAGGATGGGAAATGAAAACTGTGCCTGAATGTTTACAGAAGCAATGGGTGTGGGGAGGGCACCTGAAGGTCGGGGCCTCAGGGACCACAGGCAACTGAGGCAGGATTTTTAAAATGCAGGGGGCTTCTCTGCAGGAGGGCTGCTATCCTGAACTCTCCTGGAGGGAATGAACCTCCTCGAGCTCCAAGACAGATGAGGATGCGGGTAGGGGTGTGGTGTGTGTGGGGCCTGGGTTCTGAAGCCCTAGCATCCTACTGCCCAATGAAGAGTCAGCTCATTCCATCTCTTGGAAAGCTCGCTTGGAAACAGATTCTATTTCCACCCAGTTTCTTCTGTTGACATATGCAAATGTAACTCAGTGAAAAGAGGATTTGTTTCTGGACTCCAGAGTCAAGACGTGCAACTGGGATCGAGAAGGGGAAACTCAGTTTTCTATGCCTTCATGAATAGCATGGCTCCCAGGGGGCCGATAATTCAGTCAAATTTTACTGTCAAAATTCTAAAGAGGGGAAACTGACTCAAGTGGCAGGCAACACTCTCGTCTCACTGATGACGGTTCTGGATAACCTGGTTTTCTGTGCTTACAAACAGGGGTATTTGGCCTGAGATGAATAATTTATTGGGGTTAAAAACCTAAATTAATAATCACAAACCATTTTACTATGAATCAAGTTTGACATCACTTCTCAATTAATGACTGGACGTAGGCTAGTGCCCCATATCTTTTAATACCTAAAGAGACTACTTTAGTATTTAAAAGATGTGAGACAATGAAAGAGACATAAGGAGAGCTCACCAATGGTCTACCATCCCAGAGGGAAACCCAATGGTCTGTGATGACTTCCATGCTCACAAGATGTGGGGGGCTCCCCCCAAACTCTCTGACCTCAGGCCTCTCACTCCCTCTCTAACCTACTCTGCTCTGGCCAGATTGGTGGCTTCCCATCCCTTTCTTAAACATGGCCATATACTGCCACCCCAGGGCCTTTGCACTTGCTCTTTGCATTGCCCGGAATGCTTTTACTCCACATATGCACATGGCATTCTCTCACTTTTTTCTGGTCTTCCCTTTAGCTCTACATGAAGCCCTCTCTGGCCATCCTTGCTACAAATTCAACCCTCCTCCAGCACTACATTTTCTTTCCTGCTTTATTATTTTTCTCTTAGCTTATCACTATTATATATTTTCTATATTTAACTCACCTGTGGTTTCTCTCTCTCTAGCTTATAGGCCTCATGAAGGTAAGGGTTTCTATTTTGTTGACAGTGATCACTGTGGACATAGTAAGCCTTCAACAAATATATATTGAATGATAAATGAAGGAGTCAATGGATGTTACATGTCACAAAGGTTGACTTTCTCCCTCTGCCCCCACCCCCAAGAACAAAGATTCAAAGATCTTCTCAGGGGTAGTTTGGCAGCTCAACATGGGCATTTCTTTCCACTTTCTCTAGCTAAAGCTTTTGGCTATGGAGGATCCAACTCCTTGACACCAGTACTCGATTGCTGGGAATGATAAAAAGCTGCCCACAACAGAGTGGTGGTTAGGTAGAGAGACAGAGGTCTGGTGCTCACCCAACCTGCTTCCCCTTCCGGAGCTCACAGGTACAACTGTACTTCCATTCCCACCCCCCACACACACAGCTCCCCGGCCCTTTGCATCTCCCTGGGGCCACATGGCCAGTGGGCTGCAGGAAGGAGTGATCTATGCCATATCTAGGCCTGGCCCTAAGACATCCTGTGAAACTTCCCTTCTGCTCTCTCTTCATTGGCCAGTTGAATAAAGAGGGTTCACTAAAGGAATCTGAGGCCCTAAAAGATTGTAGGGACAACAGATGCAAGAAACTTGCCCCTTAATGACCATGTGGATCAGTACTCCCTGCCCCCCCTTGCCCCTACCCAGGGCTGTGCCATGAATGTAAAATAAACCCATGTGTTGTGTGTTAAACTGCACTGAGGTTTTGGGGTTGCTTGTTAAAGCAGCTAGTGTGATTTGCCCCAGTGCTACAGATACAAAGGCCATGTATTAAAAAAAGGGGGGCAGTTTAGGCATAATTCCTCCAATTATCTGATGCAAGCTGCATTCCTAAGGGAAATTTGTCTTTTTATAACTGGAGGTTCAGCCTCGTTGGACTTTTGTGAAAACTGCAGTGAACTGCCAAGGGCGAGATGAGGAGAGACAGGGAGAAGCTATTAAAACACCTCTTCAAGTTTCACCGTCTTCTTCATTTGATAGTCATACTGCTTATACACACGGGTAATCTGGGGTAGCTGGGGTAATCTGTGCAGACAAGCTTGCAGAGAGCCATAACCCAGCCCCAGTTTTGAGACACTGAAAACCTACAGAGGCCACTGTCGGCCTCAACATGTGGGGGCTCTTGTGTATAATACAAAAGCTACATTGTCGATGCTCCAGGTTGCAGCTCTCAGTTTGGGGTTTTTATGACCAGAGATAATTGCTGTGCCTATTGAATATAATAATATCCTTTTTTTTTTGGGGGGGGGATATTACTCCCTCTTTCACCTGGGTCAGGGAAGTGGGACCAACATCAGCTGCTGGGTCCCACTACCTTAGTCCGAACAGAGCCGAAGCATTCACATTATCCAGCAATAAACAACTATGAAAACAAAGTGACACATTACCTGTCCGGCTAGCATTTCATATAATAGGACGCCATAGGCCCACCAGTCCACGGATTTTCCATACGGCTGATAAGCGATTATCTGTGTGAAAACACATACGGCAGTTACATTGAGCGGTAAATCAAAAAGACTGTGTTAGAACAGGTAAGTCAAGCGTGTATGCCTTTCTGCACAGCAGGAGAGGGTCCTGCAAATCACACCCACTGGGAACTACCTCCTCGTGACTCGCTGCCTAAAACCTGCTTCGGAACTGCTCCTCTGAATCCACCTGGAGATGCCACAGTGCTGTCTGAAGCTAGATTTAATTATCCTCCCTGGAGAAAAATATTGGGACAGTGAGGTGGATTTAATTTTCGCAAAAAGCCAGAGGTCATTCAGACTGAAGGTCTGATAAATAAGATAATCAAACTACGTAATAGGATTTTGCTAAAAGTAACAAAGAAGATGGTGGTGATAACGCATCTGCTGAAGTTTCAAGACATTCTGAAAGAGACGTAAAATAATCAAATGTCACATTTGAACCTTGTCTGAATCTTGACTCAAACCCAGCCAACTGTAAAAAAAAGAAATCAGAAACACTACAGTGTGGTCTTGATATTAGATAATATTAAGAGATTACCATTAATTTTGTGAGGTGGTAAAATGGTACGGTGACGAGTTTAAAAGCGTCCCTTTTCAGTTAGAGGTGAGCGTATTTATGAGTGAAATGCATGAGAGTTGAAGTATTTATGGCTGAACTGACATGACATCTTAGATTTGTCTTAAATACTTCAGCAAACTAGGAAGGGATTGGAACAGATGAAATGAGTTGGCAAAATGCAGGGAACTGGTGAAGCTGGATGACGGCCCCCAGAGACCCGACCCCGACTGCTTCCTCTACGTTTGCGGCTCTCGGAAGTACTAGAATAATTCTATGACCTGCCTTTGTGGAAGAGATTGATGCTGATTTGAATTTCTAAGCATGACATGGGTTATTAAAACCCCGGGGTTGTGGTCTAAAACACACAATCCCCCGACCCATGGATCATGCCCCAGGATTCGAGGCCAAGACATCTGAACAGGTGCTCAGCATGACCATTCTACCATTGTGCACTCACATGTGACTTTGCAATGTTCTAGGTTATTTTTTTAATGACCCACGATGTCTAATGGAATGTCCTGGGACATAGACAAACTTTCTGCTTGTCTCTTTCTCTCCATTTCTTTAATGTATTACTAAGATTTTTCCTTGCAGGATGAGAAATCCAAGCTCCTGTGGCTTGCCTCAACATGGGTGGCAATAAGGGGGTACATGTTTAGATTGGGGCAGCTTTACAGCTCATTTTCTTTCTTTTTAAAAGATTTTATTTATTTATTTATTTGGGAGGAGGGGCAGGGGGAGAGAGGAAGAGAAAGAGAGCAGCCTCTGCTGAGCAGGGAGCCTGATGCAGGGGCTCAATCTGAGGACCCAGAGATCATGACCTGAGCTGAAGGCAGATGCTTAACCGACTGAGCCACTTAGGCATCCCACAGCTCATTTTCTTGACGAGGAAATGACAAGCAAAAGAAGCTGCAAGGAGGCCTTCATTTCTTTTTAAAACTACATTTGTTCTTTTTTGAAAACTTGGAAAATGCACATATCCACAGAACAAAAAAACCCTACCAAAATGAGCCTCTCTGCGGTTACCTGATGACGTGCGATGAGGCTTGCCATTCTGGTTCCAAGACAGGAAATGACTGGATCAAAGCCTGTCTGAACCAAGTAGAACAACAGAAATTCTCTTTGGGAGAGTAAAGAAGTACACTTGTTAAGCATCCACTATATATCAGAATGTGCTCTAAGCACATTCAGTAGAATCCCGTGGGGCAGAAAGAAGCATTCTTCCCATTTTATAGGTGAGAAAGCTAGCTGACAGAGCAAGAAGTTTAAGAGACTGGTCCAGAGCCAATCAGTTCCTAAGTAGTGCTCAGGATACTGACATTTTTGTTTTAAAAATACAGTTTATAGCTTTCAAACATGTACACTCACTCATACTGAGATTAATAAAATATTAATCAAAGGGCTTTGAGGATTAAAGAGGTTTAAAATCATCATTTCAGTTGTAGCTGTATTTCAAAAGCACTTGAACAAAATTTGTTCCTGTAACTATATTAAAACCCGTCCTGGCAATCTATTTTCATTAATCAGTGTTTTTGTTACTGTTTTTAATGCAGGCGGAACTGGGGCACGGTACTGTTGTGGGAATTATCAGGCTGGGGCACGGAGGGGGAAGAAGGAGTGTGGTCACGCTGTATTTCGTATCTTATATTCTTACAAATACCCGAGTACTCTTTACAATCATACTCCTCTACTTGGGTGGTAGAAAATGCCACCTGAGTTTGGAAAGCTGTCCAAGGTCAAGGGTATAGAAACCCTGTCTCTGATAAGACCGATTCACACAAATCCTAAAAGCCATGGCCACCTGAAGACTTTTTTTTTTCTTGATTCTTTTATCAATTTTGGTCCAACTTGATTTTTATTTTCTATTTGCACAGCACAGCATTAAACTCTCATGCCTCCCACTGATAACACCCTCTCCTTCCTCCAAGGCTTCCAAAGCAGAATGCCAAGTGCCAATGGCTCCTTTTTCTTGGCGGTAGCATTTGGCAATCCTTAGAGCCGGCCAGCTCAGCTATTGGGCTGAGATGACAAAGTCACGCTGAACACTGCAGTGCTTTCAATTGTAATAACAGGATGGGATTTGGAATTTAGCTGGAGCCTTTCGTCTTGGAGAAGCTCACAATGTATCTCCCCTGGCTTGTGCGCTAGATAGAACAGGAACATCAGAAGATCTAAGTTACAAGGTATATGGCTGCAACCTCACCACTGCAAATTCAGTTTTAGAGGGAAGCATGCTTTCCCCTCAATGATAAGCTGCTGTCAAGAAATACCAATATCCACAAATCTCACTATAAAAGGGAAACTGTGTTAGAGAGCCCCATTTGAAGATAAATATTTAGATACACAGGACTTAGGATGTTGGTTACGCTGTGCCTTGTGAGCTGTCTACACCTGCGCTGTGCAGTACAGTAGCAGCCACTAGCCACATGTGGCTACTGAGCATGGGAAAAGCAGCCAGTACAAGCTGAGGTGTACTAGAGGTGCGACATACACATCAGATTCTGAAGACTTAGTACCCAAACCGCAAAATATCTCATTCATATTTTGGATATATTGGGTTAAATAAAATATATTAAGCTTAATTTCACTGGTTTCTTTTTCAGTTCTTACAAGTGTGGTTGTTAGGGGACACCTGACTGACTCGGTCAGTACAGCATGTGACTCCTAATCCTGAGGTTGTGAGTTCGAGCCCCACGTAGAGTGTAGAGATTAAATAAATAAACAAATAAATAAATAATAAATATTTAGGGAAAAAACCTTCCACACATGTGCAAAATGTGGCTGCTAAATGCAGTTTGGCCTGCATTTTGTTTCTTTTTTTTAAATTTTTAAAAAAAATTTATTCATGATAGACACAGAGAGAGACAGAGAGGCAGAGACACAGGCAGAGGGAGAAGCAGGCTCCATGCCGGGAGCCCGACGCGGGACTCGATCCCGGGACCCCAGGATTGCGCCCTGGGCCAAAGGCAGGCGCCAAACCGCTGAGCCACCCAGGGATCCCCTGCATTTTGTTTCTACTGGATGGTGCTGGTCTATACCCCCTCATGGGCTCCTACAATGCACGCTGGTTCCTGGGCTCTTTTTGGCCTAGGGAGCCAGCTTTGGGGTGAGAGCCAGGCTCAGAGGTCACAGAATGGATGGTGAGGCTCTCTTGCTTTTGTCCCCACTGGGGACAGGAGCAGGTGTCTCTGGGACTTGTGGGCCAACGGGGGCTTGCAGCCAAGACCAGGGGGACTGCATGGCAATTTGGTTTCCCACAGCAGAGAGCCTCACAAAGGGGAGGCTGACTTGGCAAGGATGCCCCCATTGGCAGCTCTCCCTGCAGCACATGGGAGGCTGAACTTTAGCTTCAAAGACAGACCCCCAGCAGAGCCACTGTCATTCAGCCTTACTGCTATTTGTCATTATGATCATTATTATTATGCTCACATGAGCCAACTGCTTAGGGGGAGATGTTAGGATGTTTCAAATGGCTGTCTGTCTTGTAAAAGTAAGATATGAATGAGCTTTCTTCCAGCCTGGGTACAGCACCAGGGATAAAAGGGGAAAGGGGCAGCTTCTCATCTCCTACCAGGCCAGCGGCCACGGTGGCTGGAAAATTGCTCTGAAGCCACCCACCTTCCCACCCTCTGCCAGGGCTCCATAGTCAAAGGCCTCCCAAAGGGGATAGGGCTTCAGAAGCTTTTTTTTTTTTGGGGGGGGGGTAATGGTGTACAGTTTCTAGATGCTACTGGCAATAGTAACAATGACTATAAGCAACGTCATCATCACAACACTCACTATGTGCCAGGCTCCTTAGCTCTGTTAGCTCACTTGGCCCTCGTGAGACTTTTATGAGGTAGGAACATTCCATTTCAAAGATGAGGAAATGAGACACAGAGAAGGTAAGTAGCTTGCTTAAGGTCACACAGCAAGTAAGTAGCAGCACTGGGATTTGAACTCTGGTTCTCCGGACAGCTACGGGGCAGGGGGAACTGGCCCCAAAAGGGGCTCAAATGCTGAACAGGATCGAAGCTGCCAAGATGACCACTTCACTCACGAACTCTGGCTCTGGACGCTTTGTCATAAAGGACCCATGGGAAGGCAACATGTGTGCAAGGAGACTCACTCTCCCATTCCTGGCTGTACCTTAACTGGACTCCACTCTTCATTCTTACGTTAGGTTTACTCGCCAACCCCCCAGAACCCACCATAACAGACGACCTGACTGCAGAAGGCTCTTCCCAGGCTTCTGTTACACATTCACACTGGCCTTTATGCATAAAACATGCTCGACTCCTTTTACTGTCTCAGGGAAACAAAAATATCTCTTCCTTTGACCAAAAATAAAACTATTTTACTTCAATGAAAAAAATGATGGCCATTTTGAAAAATATCCTAAGTTCCCCAGGATACAATGTGGGACATATGAGGCCTTCTATATGTGCCTGGTGGAAAACAC